AGGCTGTTCTAGAGAGAACTGAACTGCGAATTGCTTTGATCTGATTAGCTATCCGATAAATTATAACTGGACTAGAACTGAACTAGAACTGAACTAGAACAGAACTAGAACAGAACTAGAACTGAACTAGAACTGAACTAGAACTGAACTAGAACTGAACTAGAACTGAACTAGAACTGAACTAGAACTGAACTAGAACTGAACTAGAACTGAACTAGAACTGAACTAGAACTGAACTAGAACTGAACTAGAACTGAACTAGAACTGAACTAGAACTGAACTAGAACTGAACTAAACTAGAACTGAACTAGAACTGAACTAGAACTGAACTAGAACTGAACTAGAACTGAACTAGAACTGAACTAGAACTGAACTAGAACTGAACTAGAACTGAACTAGAACTGAACTAGAACTGAACTAGAACTGAACTAGACTAGAACTGAACTAGAACTGAACTAGAACTGAACTAGAACTGAACTAGAACTGAACTAGAACTGAACTGGAACTGAACTAGAACTGAACTAGAACTGAACTAGAACTGAACTAGAACTGAACTAGAACTGAACTAGAACTGAACTAGAACTGAACTAGAACTGAACTAGAACTGAACTAGTACTGAACTAGAACTGAACTAGAACTGAACTAGAATTGAACTTGTACTGAACTAGAACTGAACTGAACAGTCAGAAAAAGCCTTAATGCTGGTCGAGTCCATTATTCGCCTAGTTTATTACGACTATATTTATTTTGTTGCATTGATATACCTCTAATCCTAATAAATATACTCATTTAAGGAAGTATTTTTTTTCTCACTTTAATATTTTAAATTGTTACAAAATATTGTAATTTAATTCTTTAATTTCCAACCACCACCCCTTTTGATAATCGTAAGAAACAAGATTACCGCAACCCATGTTAAAGTCTTTGTTGTAGTCATTAGCTAAACAGCATGTTTTTCTAAGGATTTACATCCTTAAGCAATGCTTATTATTAGAGAAATGCTATTTTTCAATTACCATTATTCTAACATTACGCCAAACCCAATCTTGTCCGTCAACATCACCCCTTAATGTCGACTGCCTCCTCTTTTAATGTCATATTTAAACTTTAGTGGGGTTATGGAAGCTTTCCTGTCTATTCATACAATATTTTGCTTCAAAACTGTTTATGTCCATTTAAATTATGTTGTTGCTAACACTGTTATTGCTACTACTGCTTCGGTTGTTTGTTGTTCAGGACAATACGTGGTGGCAACAAATACATATACAAATAAACAAACAACAGGACTAACATTAGGAAAATACTTATGTAGATGATAGCAACAACATCAATTTAAACAGCCTCAAGTGCAACAACCAACCATCCATCCTTTACATACTTTCCTTTTTCTAACCTTGTACTTGAATTTTGTGAGGAACAAATACATATGTATATTTGCAATGTGTATGAAAATAAATCCTTAGTCTAGGTATGGTTACAAGTACCCTGTAGTTCGAGGTGTACAAACTTTTAATTCACTTGTCAACCAACGTCTGAAAAGGGATACCATGACTCTTCTTAAAACTGCTAAGTATTGAAGAGGGCGTTTGTTTTGTCCTTAACAGGATATAGAAAAGTCTGTTTAAGAGTGAAAGAGCGCAATATATGAGAGTATGTGGCATTAAGTAGACTAGATGAAGAAGAAAAGTGTTGCTAACAACATGAATTGTTTAATTACAATAATAATGTTTTTGGCCCGCAGCATTTGTTGTCACACACACACACACACACACACACACATACATATGCTTGCTGCCACATACACACTTATATTAATGAGGATGTTTGTAAGAGAAATATGTACGTTGTTTAAGTACAAATGTCTATTCTGTTCCTGTTTCAGCTTTAGCAGAGTTGGAAACTTTAAAGCTTTTTGTGCTTTTCATAACTTGTTAAAAGCTACTGAAATCCAATTTCTATTATGAGACTGAAGTGAACACCAATTTGTTAAGTTCCAAGTCCAAGTAAGCACTTTCGCTTCTCAGGGAATCAATAATATCCAGTTTCAGTTATTTGTGCTTTTAGATGTTACTGCCCTAAACTTTCCAAACCTGTTCTCTTACTTTCTGGCAAATATTGTGTCTAGTTCTTCCCTTTTTGTAAGAGTTTGATGATGAGTATTTTGCTGTAGTATTTAGAACATTTCCTGTCATGTTCAATGTTGTAAATTTTCCTGTTTTTATTTAAAGCCGGTTTTTTAATACCCATTTTCCTATTATTATGGTTTGAGACCATAAGGTCGCTCGGTTGTAGCTCCGTTGTTATGGCTGTTGAATTCATTTAAAATATTGTTTTAGAAAACTTTTGAATGGTGTATGTTTTAGACAATGATTTCTCTTATTTTGTTCAAAAAATAAAATTTATTTTTTTAATGAAAAATTTGCCAAAACAGAAGAGAAAGAAACAGTACAGGAAGAGTTAATTTAAATCTAATTTTTAATTAGTGGATTGTGTTTTTGTTAAAGACATTTCTTAATTAAGTTTAAGAATTTTTATTTATTTATTATAAAGAACTGTTTTCAACATGAAGATGTTATCTAAATAAAATTGTTTTGAATGTTGATTAAACGTTAAAAATTTTTTAGTAAATATAAAAATTTTTTAGCCTTAATGCAAAATGTGTTTAAATTAGTGAATACACGAATTTTTATCTGAAAACTCTCTCTCGCAAATTTGAAAATCAATTTTAAGCAATTATCGGCACAGAGTTCTCTCATGAGCATTTCCTCTTGCTTTCACACGTGCATAAACTCACAAAAGTGTCTCCCTCTTCCTCTCCTGTTAGCAGATTAAAAGTTTTTTTACATAGACAAGCACAGAGGACATTTTATTTATTTCTCTCTCTCTCTCCACCAAAAGTTGATAAAAAGTTTTTTAGCTTACACAACTTTTCTTATATTATCCGTTAGTTCTCACTCTTCCTACAAGGTACATATGGTCTCAGTCTAAATTCTTGAACATATGTATGTAACTCTTTTATGTCAACTCCTTCCCCAAACTCTTTGCATTTTGGTTTACTTGGGCCTCAATCTGTATCATCCTGGGACTAAGCGTCCTCTTCTCTGATTCCTTGAAAATTCTAGTTTGTGACAATTATAGTGATGTTAGGTTAGTCCACCTTCTAAGTGTGTGACCAATCCAGCGCCATTTGCTTCTCTAAATGTCAATAGATGAAATTTGTTGGCCATTTCTTTGCGTATAATGTGGATCACGGCCAAAATGCAACCTCTTTGCCGAAAAAATTTGAAAAAGTTAAAACTTTGAGACCAATTTACACTTTTCTGACCTGACCTTAGATTTTCACCATCACATTTGGGAGTTGAGATATCGTGTCCTGAAGTTTGACAAAACGCCTTTTTTGGGCCTTTTGGGAAGTCGTAACAGCTCTAAGATAACTTTATTTATAAAATGTTGTATGACATTTGAAAGTCCATTAAAAGTCCTTTAAAATAGAGGCCTTATATCTTCTTTCTTCTTCGAGATATCTTCTATAAATAAAGTTGTTTTGGCGCTGTTACAACGTCTAAAAAAGCAACTTTTAGAAAAGTATTCATTGGGGTCTGGATTTAAAATTTGTTGGCCTGTGTTATCGATATCCTCATCCGATCCCACACCCCTATTCTGCATTTCGATTACGCAACGATCGAAAAAAAGTTATTCCATCAAAAAACTGAATCGTAAGAAAAAGAAGAAGCAATTCCAATTCGTTTTAATGCTTTACGAATATGTGTATTCTGCGTTACGATCGTACCTACGTTTTTGTTGTTGTTTATGTGCCGGAGAGTCGAATCGAAATGCAGAATACCAAAGTTGCCAAACGGAGAAAATTTCGATTCCCATTTAAATGCTGAATAGGGGCGATAATAATCCCTGAATTAGTACAGAATTAGCTGACATTTTCTATTTCTCTGGCACCAGTTTTAAATAAGTCCCGAGAGGATGTATTGATAAGATTTTTGTCTTCCACACATTAATTTTCAAACCAAGTGTTTCCACCGCCAGCGTTACGCTTCGTAATTCCGCCTCTAGATTTAAGTAGCTGCGCACCAGTAGACATGTACGGTCTGGATCAAGGTCTTTCAAAGATCATGTCCAGAATTATGTATATTAAATAGAAGTGGTTCCTGTCAAACACCTTTTTATCCTTTTAAGGCTCTTTAAGTATGTCAATGAACTTCAAAGTATATCATGGCTTATTTTATAAGATCGCTGTTTATATTGTGGGGTCGTCTTCAGTCATTCATATTAGATTTTCTCTGTCTTAAAATTATGAGATCCTTTGGTTCATTTAACCAAATTTAAATGTTTTTGGAAAAAGTCCTTGTTGTTTGTACAATCTTGTCCACTTATTTAACTTGACAACTTTTAGAATTTTCATTAAAATTCGCTTTATTTTTATAGTTTCCGGCAACAATTCATTCGTTTGCTATTATTTTCCTTTAATTTGTCAACAATTGTGTTCGCATGGAAAAAAAGATAAAAAAGTTTCCATTTCACGCCTTTTATTGTTCCTATTCAAAACATTTGCTGCGTTTTTTTCTATAAAATGAAAAAAAAAAATACCAAAAGAGAACATTATTGTTATGACTCCGGGCTTTTGTGGTTACTTTTATTATAATTTGTTGAGGCGCAAAAATAACATGAAACCCATGACTCATACAACTAAAAAAAAAACTGAACAGGAAGGAAGGAAATTTGCAAAAAGGATACAACAAAAAAATTATACTAACAAATAATAAAAAAAATCTGTTTAAAAGCATTATTTTAACACTTCATAAAAAAATCAGAAAATAAAACACTTTCTTTTTATTTGAATTTCTTTATAGCAATTTGTCACTATAACTGACATTATGTTTTTTTTCATTTATCTGAATTTCTCTAAATATCTTTTAATCTTTTAAAATTTACATTATATTCTTATCTTAGTTTTAATATATTTTTGTCTTTTATTTTATTTGCAGACGGAACTTTCACACAATCTGCAACAATTGTCAGAGAAGGCACGTTCAACAACAGAATTTATACAACGGCTAAAGGGCATGAGTGATAAAGTGACGGTAAGTTTTACTTTCTTATGTTTTTTTTTAATTTTTACTCAAAGTCTTTTTAAAGGAAAAACTTAATCCTTTAGGCATTTTTTTTGGAAAACATTGCTTAAACAAACGTTTTTACACTTAAAAACAAACTTTTTAATTGTTTCAGTTAAAATTTTCATCATTAATTTTGTGTGTTTCTTTGCAAAGGCCTTAAAAAGCTTAAAATTAAAACTAAATAAATAATAAAAAGCATTCTCAAGTAAAACAGTTCTAAATTATAATTTCTTAATTAAGTAAATGTTTAAGTCTCAAGAGTGTGTTTTTAGTCATGAAATTAAGAAAAAACAGTTGTTTGCTTTATTTTCCTCTTTTGTGCTGCTAGAGTTTATTTTCTTGCGAAAATATTTACATCTAATTTTAATGGCACTTAAGTAATGAAATGCCAAGTATACAGACTTAGTTGGGTATATACGACCTTATGGTTCTGTACCTATTAAATTCTGTATAACAGATCAAATGAAAATTTATTTAGGATTAAAAATTATATTGCATAATTACCATATTTGTAAGCATTGGGATTGTGTTTACCCAGCAGTTCGGAGGGACAATTCCAAATTACCTATTTAAGCTACTATCAAGGGTTACCTCTAGCCACCGACTTCCCGGATTACTGGCTATTTTATCATGTGCTTGTCCTACCAGTAACTCAACTGGCACTCTATAGTTGACGAGGATATAGTCAGAAAGCTAGTCCAATAGAGGTCAATACACGGCAATGAACATTTTTGTTGAAATTTGTTTTTTAAGTGTCCACTGTTCTTTCGCTGCTGTCGCTTACAAAGTTGACACAAGTGACGACTGTCGTTTACAAAGTGTACATTCATAAGGAACCTGGTGGTTAGACGTTAGTTGGTTAGTTAGTTAGTTAGTTAGTTAGTTAGTTAGTTAGTTAGTTAGTTAGTTAGTTAGTTAGTTAGTTAGTTAGTTAGTTAGTTAGTTAGTTAGTTAGTTAGTTAGTTAGTTAGTTAGTTAGTTAGTTAGTTAGTTAGTTAGTTAGTTAGTTAGTTAGTTAGTTAGTTAGTTAGTTAGTTAGTTAGTTAGTAGTTAGTTAGTTAGTTAGTTAGTTAGTTAGTTAGTTAGTTAGTTAGTTAGTAGTTAGTTAGTTAGTTAGTAGTTAGTTAGTTAGTTAGTTAGTTAGTTAGTTAGTTAGTTAGTTAGTAGTTAGTTAGTTAGTTAGTTAGTTAGTTAGTTAGTTAGTTAGTTAGTTAGTTAGTTAGTTAGTTAGTTAGTTAGTTAGTTAGTTAGTTAGTTAGTTAGTTAGTTAGTTAGTTAGTAGTTAGTTAGTTAGTTAGTTAGTTAGTTAGTTAGTTAGTTAGTTAGTTAGTTAGTTAGTTAGTTAGTTAGTTAGTTAGTTAGTTAGTTAGTTAGTTAGTTAGTTAGTTAGTTAGTTAGTTAGTTAGTTAGTAGTTAGTTAGTTAGTTAGTTAGTAGTTAGTTAGTAGTTAGTTAGTTAGTTAGTTAGTTAGTTAGTTAGTTAGTTAGTTAGTAGTTAGTTAGTTAGTAGTTAGTTAGTTAGTTAGTTAGTTAGTAGTTAGTTAGTTAGTTAGTTAGCTTGAAACCAAATGCGAAAAACACCTTGGCCTATATCGGGACTGTGCACTCTTTAACCAGTGTGTCCGGTGGGAATCGAACCTACAGCCACCAGCCTACTAGACTATAATACTAACCTCTATCCTATCGAAGCTTCTTTGTGAAAATAACTACCTCTTTGGGATGCATTGGATAGAAGGACGTCTTATGTCTTATTTAGATGATTTACTTAGTTCGACAAGATCGTCTGATTGGATCATTGCAGAGCCTTTTCTTGGGGGACTTGCATGTCGCACGCCTACGTGATCAAGCCACAAATATCCAATCCTTTTCCAATTTAAGATTGCAAAATATCAGCCAATTTCTAAAAGGAGACTAAGCTTTACAGAGCTTTAACTTTAAATTTAAAATATTCGTATAATTAAGCTTAAAAATTTTAAAATATTGAGCATTTAATTTGTAGACATAAAATAAATAGTACTTTTTTACTTCTATTTTATTTTACTACTTAAAAAGCAGCATAGAAACTTTCAACATAAAATCTCCAACTAAAGTAAAAAGTACACAAAAAGTGGAAAAAACTCAAATTGTTTGCAAAAAGTCTTTATGGGTTTTTCTGTCTGACGTTAGCTTTTACCGACCAGACATTTGCTTTAAGTATTTAAGTTTTTTTTGTATTTTCTTTTTTAATAAACTTACAACAATTACTTTTGATTTACCTGTAGTTAAAAAAAATAAAATTAAAAGAAAATTAAAAATGTAAAAGAAATGGCGCCATGTTTTTATATATATATTTTGCTAAAGACTTGTTAGATTTCCGTTTTCTTGGAGTTTTTCTTTGAGTTTATATTTAAGTATAAAAACATGAACATTTTGTGTGAAATGAAATACGCAATATTTTTAATTAAATTTTATTTATACTGCAGCAAAGCGACAAGGCCATACACCTATGTACAAGGTATATACATATGTATGTATAGCTTTGTCATGAGGTTTTTATTTTAATTCCAATTTATATTCATTTACTTCGAAAATGTCGATCTTTATAGTCGAGTCCATGTCGGTCTATTGGTTAATTTTGCGTCCGTCTGTCCATATGTTAATTCAAATCGGTTATTCTAAGGCTCTAAATAACTTAACTATAACATCGGATACCTATTCTTTAAACTGAAGGGTATATCTTAATCGATATTGCCATTTGAATATGTTGCCATAAGTTTCTTTTTTATAAACTTCTTTGGATATTTATTTACATGTGCTTTTTTTTCTTCTACCATTCGTTTTCTTCCAGGAATCCTGCATAGAATTTGAAAGACTGGTGGCCGCACAATGTGAAGCCCTAATACAAGCCATACATGATAGACGTGAATATTTATTAGAAGCAATACGCATGGATAAAGATACTAAAATACGAATATTAAAGGTAAGTACTTACAGAAAAGCTATTGATTGTGTATTATATTAATTTAATATAATTAAACTTGATTTTTTTAATTTCTTTTACAGGATCAACAATCAAATTGTACTGGAAAATTACAACAAACTACAGGTCTAATACAATTCTGTATTGAGGCATTAAAAGAGACTGATAGTGCTGCATTTTTACAGGTAAATTAGAAAATACAAATTATAAACTTTTATTAGAATAAATAGAAATATTTTATTATCTCAACTTCTAAGTAGATGTCAAAGCTTGATTAATATGTAAAGCTTTTTAAGACAAGGTATCAAAGTTTGTTAAATTTTTATTAAAATTTTAAGGTTTTTAAGTCTTAGGGTCAAAGCTTTGTTAAAAATTTAAAGCTTTTCGGGCCAAAAGGTCAAAGCTATGTTGAAATTTAAAACTTTTTAAGAATTTTTTTTAACCGAACTTCAAGATGAAAAGCTTAGTATAAGTATAAAGCTTTTGTAATCAAGAGGTCAAGGAATGTTTATAATTTAAAGCTTTTAAAGTTCAAATTTTGGTTAAATTTGTTAAGTCATGCGGAAAAAGCTTTGTTATTGGTTAAAGAGTTTGACTAACATAAATACAATAGGTCAAAGCTTGGTTAAAATAATAAAGCTTTTAAGGTCTAGGACTTAAAGTTTTATTAAAATTTTAAGGTTTTTAAGTCTTAGGGTCAAAATTTAAAGCTTTTTCGGCGAAAAGGTCAAAGCTATGTTGAAATTTAAAACTTTTTAAGAAATTTCTTTAATCGAATTCCAAGATGAAGTAAAAGCTTGGTAAAAATTAAAAGCTTTTTAATTTAAAAGGTCTAGGAATGGTTATAATTTAAAGCTTTTAAAGTTAACAAGTCAAATTTTGGTTAAATTTAAAGCTTTGTTAAGTCATGCGGAAAAAGCTTTGTTATTGGTTAAAGAGTTTGACTAATATATATACAATAGGTCAAAGCTTGGTTAAAATAGTAAAGCTTTTAAGGTCTACGACTTATTTAAATTTTAAGGTTTTTAAGTCTTAGGGTCAAAGCTTAGTTAAAATTTAAAGCTTTTTCGGCCAAAAGGTCAAAGCTATGTTGAAATTTAAAACTCTTTAAAAAATTTCTTTAATCGAATTCCAAGATAAAAACTTTTTAATAAATTTCTTAATCGAATTCCAAGATGAAGTAAAAGCTTGGTAAAAATTAAAAGCTTTTTAATTTAAAAGGTCAAGGAATGGTTATAATATGAAGCTTTTAAAGTTAACAAGTAAAATTTTTGTTTAATTTAAAGCTTTTTTAAATCAAACGAAAAAAGTTTTGTTACTGTTTAAAGCTTTTTTAAGCCAAGCGGAAAAAGTTTTGTAACTGTTTAAAGCTTTTTTCGCAAACTCCATGAAAGTGAGCTTTGAACTTTAAAATCTTACCATTTAAATTTTAAAATCAAAGCATAGATTAGTTTTCACTCTCTATAAACACTAATAAAATTTAAATAATATGTAGAAAAACTAACAAAAAACACAACATCATATCCTTTCAGGTCGGTTCCATGTTAATAAATCGCGTAGCCAACACCGATATGACTTGGCATCAGGAAGTAACAAATGCTGCACCCCGTGTTTCACCCATAGTCGATTTAACCCTCGATGATGCTTCCGTTTTACGAGCGATTGATAATTTAAATTTTATACAAATGAAACGTAAGTATGAGAATAAATGAAAATTTTTTACCAAAAATTTTCAATCGAAAATTAATATACAAGGGAGCGCTCCTAATTATAGAAATAAATTGAAAGTAATAAATTTTAATTAGAATTTTAGAGTAATATTGCACAAACACTAAAGTAGTTTTAACTTACACTTTTGAAAATTTTAGGTTTGTTAGGCTAAAAATTAATTAAATTACTAAACATTTATCTAGTTTTCAAACGATACACACATCCCCCCTTGTTCTTGTTTCAAAACATAGTTTTTTTTTTTTTAAATTTATGTTAAAACATTAAAATCACATCATGTTCTGTAATTAGTCACTGGTTAGTTACAGTATGTGAGTGATACCTTTTTTACACTAAACTAAAGTGTGTGTGTGTATGATTTGGGAAGACCCCTTAAAAACCACTTTGGCTTACGATCTACACAGCTGTGACAAATCACTTTTACTATTTAGATTTTAGTTTTTTTTTCTCTACACAACCCGAAAATAAGATATCATTTCAATATTGTTTGTTTTGTTTAACAAACATTTATTTTGAAATATGAGAAGATTTTTTATTTTGTCGAACACATACCAACACAATTTTAACAGCAATATTTAAAAACTAATGACACCATTTCCAATGTGAAAAGATCGTAAACAAAAAAGTTTTATAAGTAAAAGAATTTACGAGATAAAGTTTTCATTTCATCTGAACAAGAGATCCTTTTTAAGAAGCTTCTATCATAAGCAAAAGCTTCATTAACAAGAAAAAAAGCTTTATTTTAGCTGAAAAAGCTTCTTTTTTAACCAGAAAAAGTATTTATTTCATTAGAAAAGTTCTTGTCATTCCTCCTTTCATCAGAAAACAGTTTTTCAACTCACCAATAAAAGCTTCATAATAAAATCTTGAACTTCTTTTTTATAAGAAAAAGCTTTATCACCAGGAAAAAGTTTTTTTCATTAAGAATGGCATATTTCATCAGTTTTTCATCAGCAAAATATTTCTTCAGTAGAAGAAGATAAAGCTTCTCTTTTGCTAGAAAAAGTATTTATTTCCTTAAAAAGTTGTTTTCTTATTAAAAATTTCTCCTTTCATTAGAAAACTGCTTTTCAACGCACCGATAAAAGCTTCGTAAGAAAACCTTGAACTTCTTTTTTGCTAGAAAAAGCTTCATCACCAGAAAATTTCATCACAAAAAAGCTTTTTTCCATTAAGAATTGAATATTTCATCTGCTCTTCATCAGGAACATACATATTTCTTCAGCAGAAGAAGATCTTTCAGATAAGAAAGCTTTTTCGAACATGTATGCGCTAATTTTCTAGAAAAAAGCTTTTTAAACTAAAAGTATTTTACAACAGAAAAAAGTTTTTTAAACTAGAAAAGCTTTCCTCGCAAGCAACAGTTTCATTTAAAAAGCTTTCTCAAAAAAAGTTTTCATTTCATCATTGAAGAGCTTTTTTCATTAACACTCGCATTTTTCATCAGCAGAAACATATTTATTGTGAAAGGGAATAAGTTTTCATTCGAAAAAAAAGCTTTTTTTACCACAAAAAGCTATTTTCTGTAGAAAACTCACTGCACAACATATAAAGCTTTTTCACCGGATTTTTTCACATAATTCAAAATTTCACCTGGAAATGGTGTTAATCAACACAAAACCATAAATTATAAAACCACAAAGTATTAAGAAAATTTGTTTTACTTTATACACCAAACAAAAACTAAAAGTAAAACTTTTTTTATAAAAGAAAAACAACCACAATTTTTCCAAAAAAGCTAGTTTTAAAATTAACTATATTTATATAATATTATAAAATAACAAAAAATTCAAAATATTTCTACTTCTTTCTCTTCATTTTTCTTTAACAACATTACATGCTGCTTAAAAAAAATAAAAATTTAAACAATATTTGTTACAACACAATCATAAATCAAATCAATTTTCATCAAATTATGTATTATATAATAAACAAAATTATCATCATCAATTATTTGTAAACAAAAAAATGATATAAAAATCCATAATCCGCTTTTATAGCTGCTAAAGATGGCGATGAAAGATTACCAGCAGGTGAGATGCTAGATGATCATTTAATCAGCAATACAACATTTACCACATCCATACTATCCACCAATACAGTCATCAATACCTCATTATTAGACAATACAACAACAATGACAACAACAACAACACCACCACCTTCTACAGCTAATTCGGGAATAATATCAATACCATCAATGCCAACCAGCTTATTGTCGTACAATTTCAATGAAAATAATAAAACCTCAACATTACGCTCCACCAAATCCAATAAATCATCATCTTCATCCTCCTCAACATCAATATCCCTGAAAATGAATGCATTTAGAAAATTAATTAACTACGATGAATCGATATCATGTATGCATTATTTTCTTATTTTTTTTTTATTAAATTTTCCCACAACATTTTTTTTCACAAAATTGTTTTGTTTCGTTATATTTTCATTTCTTCAAATTGCAATTATTTTGTTGTTTATGTTTCTGGTTCATTTGTTAAATGTATAATTTGTGTTTTAATAACTCATTCATTTTCATACACTTTGTGTGTTTCATTCATATTTTTCGTGTCTAATCGTTTATCATGTTCTTTGTGTTCGTTTTACTTTATGATATTGCTTTAAGTTCATTTTCGCTATTATTTAATATCCTCTTTTGAATTGTGTTTTTTGTTAATTTATTTACTTGCACTTAGCTTTATTTGTTACTAAACATTATTTGGTGTTGGGTTTATTTTTTAAGAATTTTATAAGCTTACTATTTTATTAAATATGCGAAGGTATGCGTAATTAACAATCAATTTTCTTACTTAAGGGAAATTTACCAATAAATGCAATATATTTCTTAAAAAGCTTTCTGAGTAAACGATTCAGTAATAATAAAGCTTTTTATTTTAATAAATATATAAATCCAAAAACTATTTTAACTGAAAGACTTTATTCACTTACAAAGCTTTTTCTAAAAAAAAAAAACTTTTTTATAAAAAATATCCATTTTGATGAAAAAGCTTTTTAGGTATTTTCCCAAAAATTTCATATTTTTACATAAAAGCTTAAAAAATAATTTTCCTTGAAAAAGATTTTTCAGTAAAAATTAAACTTTTTTAAAAAATGAGCTTTTTTCAATAGAAGCATTTTTTAAAAAAGAAGCTTTTTAAAAAATTAGCTTTTTTAAGTAGAAGCTTCTTTTTTTAATAAAGCTTCTTTATTTGTTAAAAAAGAAGTTTTTTTAAATAGAAGCTTTCTTAAAAAAAGACTCTTTTTAAAAAAAGAAGCTTTTTAAAAAAAGGAGCTTTTTTAAAAAAAGTTTCTTTTTTTCATATCTTTACATAAAAAGCTTTTTTTCATCAAAATTTATTGTTTTCTACAAAAGTTCATTAGAAAAAGAAGCTTTTTAAAAATAGAAGCTGTTTAAAAAAAAGAAGCTTTTTTAAAAAAAGAAGCTTTTAAAAAAAGAAGCTTTTAAAAAAAGAAGCTTTTAAAAAAAGAAGCTTTTAAAAAAAGAAGTTTTTAAAAAAAAGAAGCTTTTTAAAAATGAAGCTTTTTAATAAAAAGCCTTTTAAAAAAGTAGCCTTTTTAAAAAAAGTCTGAAAAGCTTTTTTTCATAAAAATTAATTGTTTTCTAAAAAAAGTTCATTCTAAACTTGTTCATACTTTTTTATCATACATTTTCCTTTTTATTAAATAAGCTTTAGACATAAAGGCTTTCAAAACTTATTTTACTTGAAAAAGCTTTTTGCTAATAAAATATAAATATTGCACTTAAAATTTTTAATTTTTGTCTTATAAAGCTTTAAGAAATAATTAATCTGAAAAGCTTATTTTTATTAAAATTTATAAAAAGTTTTGCTTAAAAAGCTTTTTCACAAATTTAAATTCACTTTTCGGCTTTATTTATAAAAAAAAATTATTTTAAAGCTAAGGCTTTAAAAATAATTAAAATGAAAAAGCTTCGTTCATCAAAATCGAACTTTTTTAACAACATTCCTCTTCCAAAAGCTTTTTCATACAAAAAAACTTTTTTAACCAAAATAAAGACTTAAAATTATTAACATAAAAGCTTTTCCCTGAAAACCTAAAGAAAACTAAACCACCTTAAAAAGATTCTTCAGTCAAAAAAAAAAGAAAAAAAAACTTAAAAAAAAACATTTACAATTAAAAAGGTTCTTTAATCAAAATAGGATAATTTTTAGAAGCAAAAACTTTTTTATCAAACAAATTTATTTTCGACCAAATAAAGCTTTTTTCACTAAACTATGATTTCATATATAACTAGTGATATATTGTCTAAGAGAGCTTTTCACTGAAAACTTGAAGAAAACAAAACCAGCTTAAAAATTCTTTTTTCACAAAAACGTTCACTTCAGTCAAAAGAAAACCTTTTTTATCAAAAAATTGCTTACATATACAAAGATATAATGACTAAGAGAATCGAACCAGCCAGAGTCAATCCAGAGAGACCAAAATAAAAACTTAAACTAATAAATATACTCTCCGATTATAGATCTAGCAAGTTCAAAGCAACATCCAAGCTTTGAACTTGCATTCTTCATAAAAAAGTAATTTTCTGATTTAGAGAATAGGAAATATTTATAATAATTATTATTTTCCATTTAGGGAAATGTAATTTGTAATTCTTTATTTTCTTTTCCATTTGCATATTACAAAAACTTTTGTATTACTAACCTTTTAAGTTAATATATGAGAATTTCTTTTATTGTTAAGTACTTTTATTTATACCACATTTTATTCATATCAGTACTTCCTACTCCTTCCTAATACTTTTCTAAGCAAACACACTCCATTCTAGATAAAAATTTATTTGTTTTATATGACATTTACACCATAAAAAAGTAATTATTATTTGGTAAAAAATGGAAAAAACAAAACAGCAACTCCAAAGGTTGGTTGGTGTACGTTTTTCCGGTTTCCGGTTACTTTAGTAATTTCTATAAATTTTATACTTTCGAACTTGCTACTGGCTACACGGAAGGTTAAAACAACAACTTACATAACACAAACACATACATTGCAAAAAATAACAAAAAGGATCCTGCTGTGTTAATGTTGTTTTTGTTACAGTTTTTTTTTTTTGTTCGTTTCATTTGATATTACTACACCTAAGTTCCGTTTCCTATTATTTAATGGTTTCTTAAGTTCATTGTTTAAACTTGGTGTTATTCTATTCCTTTATGTTCTTTAATTTTCCTATTTCTTTCAACAAGGATTGGTTTTTTCTTTTTTATGTTTTTTTTTCGTTTATTTCAAGAAATATAAATAATGTTTTTTTTCATTTCTCTTAGTATTTATAATTTATTGTTTATTATACCCTTAAGTCATAATAATTAAACTGTATCATTGTAGTTAAAATGTTAAATACTTGAATTTACATTTACTAATATTTACACTAAAAACATAAACTTACACTTTTACACACAAATATACTTACTTTATTCTAATAATATAATAACAAAAACTTCTATATAATTTATTACATAATTTACATTTATGCTAAATAACAACAATATTATTGTTTATTTTTCTTCCATTTCCTTTACGTGTGTGTGAACAAAACATAATCTCGACTACAAATTTCTAATATTTCTCGTTTTTCCCTGGAATGTAAATGGAAAACTGTAAAATTATATACAAATTACAAATATATGAATATATATATAATAACTATAGCTCCACAACCTCCTGCAATTATACCACAAGATTGTTCAGCGGAAAATAATTCAGTTACCGTGGCGTGGCAGGCGCCAAATCATTCATTTGTTGAGGGTTACGTTTTAGAACTAGACGATGGCAGCGGTGGAGAATTTAGGGTAAGTGTAGAGAATGAAGTATGTACATTTTATTTGAATGTATAAATAATAAATTATGTTTCAAATATGAATCTATAACAGGATTCGAATAGAGTGCATTTGTCAGTATTGCTTAGGAATATGACACTATGTTTCCAGACAAAATTTCTCTGTAATTTTTTGTATTTCTAGGAATTGTAAAATTTTAAAATAAAATTTTCATATAGCTATCCTTAGATAGATAGATAGATAGATAGATAGATAGATAGATAGATAGATAGATAGATAGATAGATAGATAGATAGATAGATAGATGGATAGATAGATAGATAGATAGATGGATAGATAGATAGATAGATAGATAGATAGATAGATAGATAGATAGATAGATAGATAGATAGATAGATAGATAGATAGATAGATAGATAGATAGATAGATAGATAGATAGATAGATAGATAGATAGATAGATAGATAGATAGATAGATAGATAGATAGATAGATAGATAGATAGATAGATAGATAGATAGATAGATAGATAGATAGATAGATAGATAGATAGATAGATAGATAGATAGATAGATAGATAGATAGATAGATAGATAGATAGATAGATAGATAGATAGATAGATAGATAGATAGATAGATAGATAGCTACTAGCTAGATAGTTAGCTACTTAGCTAGTAGTTAGCTACTTAGCTAGTTAGTTAGTTAGTCAGTCAGTCAGTCAGTTACTAGTTAGTTAGCTTAGTTTAGTTAGTTAGTTAGTTAGTTAGTTAGTAGTAGTTAGTTAGTTAGTTAGTTAGTTAGTTAGTTAGTTAGTTAGTTAGTTAGTTAGTTAGTTAGTTAGTTAGTTAGTTAGTTAGTTAGTTAGTTAGTTAGTTAGTTAGTTAGTTAGTTAGTTAGTTAGTTAGTTAGTTAGTTAGTTAGTTAGTTAGTTAGTTAGTTAGTTAGTTAGTTAGTTAGTTAGTTAGTTAGTTAGTTAGTTAGTTAGTTAGTTAGTTAGTTAGTTAGTTAGTTAGTTAGTTAGTTAGTTAGTTAGTAGTAGTTAGTTAGTTAGTTAGTTAGTTAGTTAGTTAGTTAGTTAGTTAGTTAGTTAGTTAGTTAGTTAGTTAGTTAGTTAGTTAGTTAGTTAGTTAGTTAGTTAGTTAGTTAGTAGTTAGTTAGTTAGTTAGTTAGTTAGTTAGTTAGTTAGTAGTTAGTTAGTTAGTTAGTTAGTTAGTTAGTTAGTTAGTTAGTTAGTTAGTTAGTTAGTTAGTTAGTTAGTTAGTTAGTTAGTTAGTTTCTTCATTTCGAATCTTTCTTACTTCAGAAATGCACTGTTTTCCGAAAATTTTACTTAAAATCTCTACTTAAAGCTTTAAGCTCTTCTTCCTATTATATTTTATAAACTATTCTATTTTAATTTTTTCCCTTTACCATTGTTTTTGTTTTACCTTTCATTTCATGCCTCATTTATAGGAAGTTTATTGTGGCAAAGAAACAATATGCACCGTTGATGGTTTACATTTTAATTCAATGTACAATGCTCGTGTCAAGGCTTTCAATAGTGCTGGAGAAGGTGAATACTCTGAACTTATTGGATTACAAACGGCTGAAGGTAAGTTCATAAAGTTCAAAGCACTCTAAAGTGCATTTGTTGTTTTGTATTACTTTAGTTGAGCCAAAAAAAAAACATTAAAACCGACAATAATTCCATTAGAATTTAAAAAGCATTTAAACTAAATACTTGAAAAATTGCAAAAAAACATTACAACAATGCTAACAGGTATATTACATTTCGCAAGAACTGGTTATCGTTTTAATAACTACTTGCTTACTAGTAAGCGGTTATGTAGTCCTTGCGAGGCGTCTAATGAATATTTAAACATTTGTTTGTGATTCTTAGTAAGTTATTATTTAACAACTTTTATGTAATTTAAGTATGTTATTAGGTAAAATAAAATAATACCCTCCCCACTATAGTGGTGTAGGGTATAATACTTGAAATTCATTACTTAGGTTTTGCTGGGTTACCTTCGAGTGAAATCCAAAACCGGTGGACATAAATAAAGACTTATGTTATTTTAAGCGTTAAATATTTTTCCGCTTTAAAAGTTGGTGATTTTGTTTTGTAAATTAGACTAACATTACAAAAACATTCTTGTAATGTTTTTCAAAACAGTTTTTTTAACTAGAGTATTAGGTTCTTTTCTAGTTTGAACAAAAGTTTTTAGTATTTAAATTTAAAAAGTCTTCCATAAAGGGTTATAATTTTCCTGTATTACTAATTCACTCATGCGTGAGTGTCAGTTGTATAAATTGTCTTTTACACCAAAATTTTTAATCTCTTCTTCGCTTTGCTACTCCTTTGACTACTCCGTTTACTACTTACTGTTTTCTGTTAAGTTGTATTAGAAACTTTAGCTTCTTTCTAGCACTTCCACTTCAAAATTGATTGATGTTTTCCGTTTGTTGTTCCTTTAGCAACTTGCTTTGGCAGTTTTCTGCCTGCTATTTTAGCAAGATTTATTAGTTATACGCTAGTAAACAGCAGTGTTGATTTCATTAGACGCAAATATTTTTTTTTTTATTATTTAATTTTCATTTAAATTGTTTTTTGCTTCTTTAGGCCGCCGTTGCCGCCTTCGCCTTCATGACAGACAAATAGAAATAGCGTCAGTCAAGAAGAGCCAGTTAAGTCTAGTCATAAAATGCCTTAAGGGATTTCAAATAGAAAATTGATTAGTCCTTAATATTTAATTACTTAATGTAGAAAAGTGTGTAAATGACAAGGATATAAATTTTGATGTCTGCAAAAGGTGAGAGTTGCAGAAGACAGCATTTTAATTATTTTAATGTTAATAGAGGCATTAAGGTAGAAAGAAGGTGGTAGCTAATAGAAAATTTATAGATTTTTTTCAGTTTTATTTATTTTATTTTTTCGAACAGTAAAAAATTAACATATTTTTTATTGTCTTGTTTAAGTGTTATTTATATGTTAATTGAGCTTTTCGCTAATTTGATTTGGTTTTAAAGTTTACGCTAATGATTTCTTTAAGAATTAAATTCTAGTTATTTAGAGCTGGTAGCAGTAATTTAGATTGAATTGATATATCAATTGATTCTCATTTTGTAATAAATTCAAATATGAAAACTAAAAAATACATTAATTTACATTCTAGCGTATAATTCTCATTTAGTTTATAATATATATGCAATAAGTAGATAAGTTTTTGACAATTAATAGGTCTAAATAGGTCTTTACTTTAGGTCTAAATACTAATGTTATGAAATCAAGTAGTTAGTTAGTTAGTTAGTTAGTTAGTTAGTTAGTTAGTTAGTTAGTTAGTTAGTAGTTAGTTAGTTAGTTAGTTAGTTAGTTAGTAGTTAGTTAGTTAGTTAGTTAGTTAGTTAGTTAGTTAGTTAGTTAGTAGTTAGTTAGTTAGTTAGTTAGTTAGTTAGTTAGTTAGTTAGTTAGTTAGTTAGTTAGTTAGTTAGTTAGTTAGTAGTAGTTAGTTAGTTAGTTAGTTAGTTAGTTAGTTAGTTAGTTAGTTAGTAGTTAGTTAGTTAGTTAGTTAGTTAGTTAGTTAGTTAGTTAGTTAGTTAGTAGTTAGTTAGTTAGTTAGTTAGTTAGTTAGTTAGTTAGTTAGTTAGTTAGTTAGTTAGTTAGTTAGTTAGTTAGTTAGTTAGTTAGTTAGTTAGTTAGTTAGTTAGTTAGTTAGTTAGTTAGTAGTTAGTTAGTTAGTTAGTAGTTAGTTAGTTAGTTAGTTAGTTAGTTAGTTAGTTAGTTAGTTAGTTAGTTAGTTAGTTAGTTAGTAGTTAGTTAGTTAGTTAGTTAGTTAGTTAGTTAGTTAGTTAGTTAGTTAGTTAGTTAGTTAGTTAGTTAGTTAGTTAGTTAGTTAGTAGTTAGTTAGTTAGTTAGTTAGTTAGTAGTTAGTTGGTTGGTTGGTTGGTTAGTTATTTAGGTAGGTAATTAGTTAGTCGGTTAAGAATCACTTTCTTAGTCGATTTACCTATGTCCGTCCGTCTGTACGTTCATGTAAACTTTGTGCACACTATACCCACCTTAAGGTATACCAATAGGCTCAGAATCACTTTCTGAATCAATTTTGCTATGTCCGTCCGTCCATCTGTGTGTCCATGTAAACCTTGTGCGTACTATACAGGTCACAATTTTCAAGCTAATTTGATGAAATTTTGTACATACTCTTCTTATGACCCAAGAACTATTGAAAAAGGTTAAAATCGGTTCATTATTTCGTATAGCCCCATACAACCGTACCCCTCGAATAGGGATTTTGAGCTCATAAATATGTTAAATGTTCTTGTATCACTTCAAAAATTGGCAAAACTTAGTTTTATATAGGTCTTAATCATACTGTTGATTTTCGTAATGATTGGGTCCCATTTGACCCTATCCCCCATCCAAAGTCCCATTCAGAAAGTGAGTTGAAGGAGAAAATTCACTGATATCATGATGATATTCTACATAAACAACTAATGTAGACGTAAATCCCTCTACCAAAATTTATAAGGATAGGATCATATTTGCCCCCGTAAAACTCTTTACTTAGAAAATCCTTTTTTGTCAACAAATTCATAAAATAATTTTGAATTAAGATAAAAATGAAATGAAATAGTTTATTATTAAAAATAATAATCAACATATTTAACAAAATCACTGGTATAGGGTATCATATGGTGGGCCATGCCCGACTATAAATTCTTTTTTTTAATCTTTAGTTGTAAGAGGATTTTATTTAATTTTACTTAACATTCTTTTAGCGAGGTGAGTGTTTTTACCGGACAGGACAGCTAATAATAAGCAGTCAATAACTTAGAAAAAGTAAATGAACAAATAAGTTAACTAAACCACTCTAACAGAAAGGAAAAAAACAAATAACCGTGAATAGGAAAATAAATCGGGGAAGTTATAGACATGTTATAGCACCATTGCTATATCATAAAATTTAATTCAGACCACTATAGTGGTAAAGGTGTCATGAGATCGTGCTGATGTTTGTGACGTATAGAAATCTGGCTTTTACTCTAATTGAATTTGAATCATATTCTAAAACAATTTAGCGATGTTCGTTCATCACTCGTTCTACTTAATTTTCAAGATAATTTGATGAAAATTGACACATTATACTTTGACTCAAGGAAATTATTTCAAAAAGTCACAAGTTTTACGAGGACTCACAGACGGACGGACATAGCTTAACAGTCTCAGAACATTCATATTCTTCAAGGTGAGTGTGGGACCAACACAACATCTTCTCATAATAACCTCCTCACTGTAGAGCTGTAGGCTATACAGATTAGAAAGCTTAAAAACTCTAAATTCTCTTTTTCGACTTAAGGCTCAGCTAATTGCTATGTATGTATGTTCCGTTCCGTCTCGGATCGGCTGATTCAGCTCTTTCATGCATAAACCCAAGAATTTTCAAGCAAAGACCCAAAAATAGTTTGCCGGCTTCGATATGGCAAACAATAGTCATTATAGAAGTAATGACAAAGGATTTCGTCTATAGATAGTCTTCTACTTACCAGGAAGAGAAATTATAATACATATATCACCATATAGAGTATAATACCAATATTTAACTTAAATATTTGCTTAGTTCATAGCTAAAGTCTCTGCTAACATCCCTTATACAAGAAAAAAATCAAGATTTTACAAAACCTAAAGCATACTTTGCGGTGCAGACAATAACATCATAACAACAACAACCCACATACAAACACATTTGCAACTAAAACAGGACTAAAAAACCACTACAACAAAAAAACTAAAAAAGTAGTAGAATTTAAAGAAGAAAAGAGAATATTACAACAAGCATAACAAGGAAATGCAATCAAATTGAATTTCCTCCATATTGGCTAAACAAAGCTTATTTGTCTGTCCTTCCTGTTAAATGTAGATTTTGCTATTATTTTCCTCGTTTTTTTACCAGACTACATAACAAGTTGTGGTTTATAGAGTTTATTTTTCACAGTCAAGGATATTTATTTATTTCCTAGTATTTATATTACATTTTCAATGTTTCTATATTTATTTTTTTCCCCTATATTTACAGTTGCCTGGTTTACATTTGATCCGGTTTTAAGCGGTGGTCCTGGTTCTGGTCTCATCTTTAGTAATAACAATTCAACTGTCTCCGTTGAAGGCTGGGAACATCGTGTTGCATTGGGTTCTGTGGGTTTTTCACGTGGCATACACTATTGGGAATTTACCATTGACAATTATACAGCTGATACAGATCCTGCCTTTGGTGTGGCACGCATCGATGTTAATCGTAATAAAATGTTGGGTAAGTAGTCAATTGTTGTCAGTAGTTTTTATTATGTAGTTTTTTTTTTAAGTATAAAGGCAAAAGGGATAGTATTAGCTTGCTTGGCAACTTAAAGAAATAATAGCTATGAATAGTAGTACAAGAGTATTTATTACAGAAGAAAAAACTTTGCGGTCTGTGGCTCTTTGTATTTTATGTAGAAATATTCTTAGAAAATTGTACTTTTAGTTGTTGTTGAGATTTATAGCTTCTTTGTTAAGAGCTGGTCAACAGGTATAGTAATTTCTTTAGCAATATTTAATATAAATTGGTTGTCAGGGATCATAAGTAATGAATCAGAGAATATGAAAGAAAACATTGTCAAGTAATAAATTTATTTAAAAACTTAAAGTTATAAAATTAAACTACAAGTAAGAAAGTATAGTATATAAAAAGGGGACTTAAATTAAATTATGAGTTTTAGTTCTGGATCTCACATAGACTTGTCTCCTACAAAGATTAGTTAGTCAATTTGTCAATAGATTGAAATAAATAAATAGTACTTTTAATCCATTTTCACAAATTTAAGCTTCCCATAACATTAACGAAGCTTTTTTATTGACAATGAGAATTTCTCAGAAACTGAGCAGATGAAAAGCTTTCTCCAAATATTTCTCAAGATGTTTTAAGTTAGCAACAGCAGGCTTAAGTAGTTTTAATTTTATATGAATTAAATTAATTAAAGCTTTTGTAGAAAAAGCTAAAGCATTCAAGCTTTATCTTCATTTGTCCCACACATTGGCAAAGCGTTTTATCGAAAAGTTTTTCATCAAAAAGCTTTATCACAAACATCATTCTTAAACTTTAAAAGCTCTTTGTGTTTTAAAAAATTTATAAAAGAGCTTTTCTTTTAAAAAGCTTTTCTTATAGATCTTAAAAAATCCACTTTAAAAGTCTTTATTTTTATTAAAAATACCATTTTAAAAGCCTTTATTTTATTTAGAAAGCTTTAGTTTTTGAAACGTTTTTCCAAAGTTTTCTTGTTTGAAAGCTTTCTAACAAAACTGTTATATAACAAGTAATTTATTTCCAAAAGTTGCCTAAAGTTATAGGTTTTATAAAGCTTTCTACTATTAAGCTTATTTTTGAAAATATCAGTATCAGTTTTCCACAAAAGTTTTATATTTGAAAGCTTTCAAACTAAACTTTAATATAACAAGTAATTTATTTTTAAAAGTTACCTAAAGTTATATTTTAAAGCTTTTCACTATAAAGTTTGTTTTGAAAGAGCTTTTTTAAGAGCTTTTAATTGTGGCAAAGCTTTTTTTAAAAAAAAAAAACTTTAGCAAAATAAAAATTGCTTAAAACAATAATTTATATTTAAAAATATTTGTAATAATTTTTTATTTTTATACATTTTTTATAAAGTTTTCTGTAAAATTTATTCAAAAATGTTAGTTCATTTCCCAAAGAAAATACTTTTTGAAAAGAAGCCGTTTTTGGAAGTTTTGAACTGTAAATTAGATAGATTTTCAAGAGAGTTGTTACGCAAGAGTTAAAAAAAATTAGGGGTTCTTCTTCATACAAATTGAAGAAATCATAAATCGATTACAAGATAGATACAGGGACGTCTTTTTAAATTTCGGGATAAGCGTTGTAAGCATCAGCACAAACGCAACTTATCCCCCACCCCCATAACTAAATAACAAAATAATAAAACTATTTAAAATGTAACAAAATAACAACAAAGTATCATTAACTTTATACTTAAACTTAGTATGTATGACTATCTAAGAATCTTAGTATCGCGTAATAAACTTAGCAAAAGTACGAGTGTTAGTGGCAGAATGTAGCAAAAGAATGAAGTATGAGCCAGATAACACTGAACATTATCTGGCAAAACTTTTTTTAAAGTTAAACATGATGGTTTTGAAAAACTAAAAACAGCAGCTAACTATACTACTACTGCTACTTACTTACTTTATAAAACTCCAAAATGTTAGACACCAAACTGTGACAACACATGCAATAAGAACATGATATTAACTTAAGAGATACATGCCCCCAATATTCAAACACACAGATACATATTTTGTAATACATTGTATGTACTAGTTTAAAATAAACGACAGGAAAAGCGAAAAGTTTTGTTTGTAACAAATATTTTTTATGAGATTGTGTAGAACAATAACGCGAAACACGTAACAGCAGCAAAGAAACGAAAAAGTGACTTGCTAGTAAAATAAGCCAAAACAACAACTCATCACGTCCACAATGTCTAAGACAATGTAAGGATATAGAGAGGTTTTAGGGTAGTGGCGTCTAACAAAGCTTAATAAAAAGTTAGATTTAAAAAAGAGAAACATATTTTTTGTTAAATATTGCACAGTGGCTTAAAAGCATTAAATGGATGAAAGCTATAATAACACATTAGAATTAGTAATGTAATTATTTGCCCCAAATTTCTGAAATATACACACATATTAATATTATTAATAACTTTCTTTTTTTTTAAGAAATGTTAGAATAATATTCAAACCACCCGGGAATCTCCTCCAGCCACTGTTTAGTTAACTTTTAGCATTTAGTAGCGCAAACGAAAAACTTTTCAACATTTTAGTGTCAGTGTCAATTTCGTGGGTGGGGTAAAAAGGTGTTATGTTGCTAGCAATACATACCACTAATTCTTAAATATGTATGTACATACCAGCAGCATAAACAAAGTTTTCTATTTTTAACTGCAGTGTCTTATGAAATTTTAATTTGAAAACTTGTGATGAGCTGCTTTAACACGTGTCAAATGGTGTAGAAATTTTGTATAGGAAAAGTTTGCAGCTAGAAAATATTTATGGAAAATTCCCTAAAATGTTTGTTTGTGTCAGCATTAAATATCAAGTTGTATATATTTTTAATTTTGAAGGAAAGTTATCAGCAATAATATGGTCCCATTAGTGTTTAAGCCTATCAGGCCGGAGGTTGTGGGTCAGATTTCCACCAGCGGTTCTGGAAAAAGTAGCACCCAGTAATGGCGATAGTGGTATACCCACTAACTAACTAACAAACTAACTAACTAACTAACTAACTCACTAACAGAACTAACGGAACGAACTAAGCTAATAACTAACTAACTAAACTAACTAACTAACTAACTAAGCTAACTAACTAAAGAAAGAAACTAACTAACTAACTAACTAACTAACTAACTAACTAACTAACTAACTAACTAACTAACTAACTAACTAACTAACTAACTAACTAACTAACTAACTAACTAACTAACTAACTAACTAACTAACTAACTAACTAACTAACTAACTAACTAACTAACTAACTAACTAACTAACTAACTAACTAACTAACTAACTAACTAACTAACTAACTAACTAACTAACTAACTAACTAACTAACTAACTAACTAACTAACTAACTAACTAACTAACTAACTAACTAACTAACTAACTAACTAACTAACTAACTAACTAACTAACTAACTAACTAACTAACTACTAACTAACTAACTAACTAACTAACTAACTAACTAACTAACTAACTAACTAACTAACTAACTAACTAACTAACTAACTAACTACTAACTAACTACTAACTAACTAACTAACTAACTAACTAACTAACTAACTAACTAACTAACTAACTAACTAACTAACTAACTAACTAACTAACTACTAACTAACTAACTAACTAACTAACTAACTAACTAACTAACTAACTAACTAACTAACTAACTAACTAACTAACTAACTAACTAACTAACTAACTAACTAACTAACTACTAACTAACTAACTAACTAACTAACTAACTAACTAACTAACTAACTAACTAACTAACTAACTAACTAACTAACTAACTAACTAACTAACTAACTAACTAACTAACTAACTAACTAACTAAGTAGCCAAAAGCTTATAGTCGTTTATATCAAAAAGCTTTTTAAGTTATTACTTTCTTAAAAATTTCATATTATTAATCTTCTTAGAAGCTTTATCTATTTATATATTCATATTTTTAGAGTTTTATAACAAAACTTTCAGGCAAATAGCTTTCTTGAAAGCTTTAATTTACTATTTATTTTAAGAAAATCTTTCTCAAAAACTAGTTTTTAATTCCCTGAAAAATCTGTAAAGAGAATCTTTTTAAAAAGTGCATTTTAATTCCTTGAAAAGCTTTTTTTCTGTAAAGTTTAATACAATAGCAGACATTCTATTTGAAAACATATGTATAGGATCTTACATAAAAAATTTTTAGGGTATAGTAGATAGTGCTTTTAAAGAATGAGAAATTATGATGCCTTAAATATATTAACTTTCTAGCTGACATTATAAACTACTCCTTATACCCAATAGGGAAAAGCAGTTGATTAAAATAGAAGAATTTAACTTATCAATCTATGGTAATGTAAATAATGGAAAATAACTTTTATTTATACTTGTCTTGCACTCATGAGCTTTCAACATTCTTTCAACTTTGCAAAAATATTTCACTTAATTCCCTTCAAATAACTTTATACCAACTATAATGGATTTGTATATACTTTGAGAGAGAAAAGAAACTTCCGTTTCCTTTGTTGTTGCTATTGTACAATTGGTAATTTTATCTCACAGTTACAGACTTCTAGCCAACACACTTTCGCATACAAAAGCGCAACAGCTCTCTGGCAATTTTTTTTTAATAGCACAAACAGCGAAAGTTTTTCTTGATTTTCTATTTTTCTCTCTCAGATTAAATTGTATCGAAATTGGCAATATTTCTTGTTTTTATTGTTTTTTTTTCGATTTTCAATTTTCATTTGTTAACAATACTTTGTGTTCACTTGCCAAACTTTAGATTTCACTGCTGCTGTTGTTTGTATTAAATAGAAGTTTCGTTTTTTTGTTTGAAAAGTGTTTGTGCTTATTGTCACGCCTTTTTGGTTTTTTTGTAGTCGAAATATCGAAGTGTTTCTTTAGCTAGTTTTTATCATATTATCTCTTGAGGCAGGAGGATTTTCGGGGAGGTGTGAGGCGTTTATTGTCACAAACTTAAGTTTGCTATAGAGATAAAACTTTACGTTGTTAGTGGTGTTGTGTTGTTTTTCTCTTTTTACTTATGGTCAGGTTTCACACTAACTGTGTGTGTGGGGCTAATCGGGAGATATTGTTGGAAAGTGGTGTAAAAGTATTGACGAAATAAAGTATTTGTTAGCGAAATAACTATGTATATGATCTCGGCATTTATCGGCTCAGAATCGCTTTCTGTGTCATCGTTCATTGCAAACTTTAAGAACAAACTTTAAGTCTTATTTTTAAAAAAGTTTAAGAGATTTAGTTTAAGGACGAAGTAAAAATCGGTCCATGATTTCAGTTGGCACTCCAAAATATCAATATTTGCCAATATATATTGTCATCATTTCAGTCAAAAGTTTAAAACAAAAGTTTTAAAACAAAAGAAGGCGCCATCACGTTTTTAAATCATTTTTCAAAAGAATTTTTACTTCCTCTATTGATACTTTAACAAAACGACAGAAAAGTTTTTTTGACGCCATTTTTAATTTCTTTTGTTCTTTCTATATTGTTATTTTATTGAAAATCCATTAACAAAAATGTAAGGCAAACAATTTTTTTCTATTCTTTAGCAAGTAGCTAAAGAAAATTAAAAAACTTTTGTGTTTTTTACTTTTTAGAAAAAAAAAATAAAAGCTTTTAACCATAAAGCTTTTCTTTGTTACTTTTTCCTGCTTACTTTAAGAGATTCATTTATTTTTTATACTCTACAATATTTTAAACCAAAAAAATTAATCCTTCTTTATATATTATTTTTTTCTTTTAAAGGTAAAGATGAAAAATCATTTGCCATGTACATTGATCGTCAACGTTCTTGGTTCCAACATAATTCAGTGCATGAAAGACGCGTTGAGGGTGGCATTAGCACCGGCAGCACCATCGGTGTTTTACTCAATTTAGAAAGACACACTTTAAGTTTTCTGGTTAATGGCATGCCTCAAGGTTCTATAGCGTTTCGTGATTTATATGGTGTCTTCTATCCAGCTGTTAGTATTAATCGTGGTGTCACTCTAACCATGCACTCAGCCTTGGATGCACCACAAATGGATTATTTTTAAACAATGGACAAAAAAACAGAGATTTTCTAATGACAACAAATCATAATGTAAATAGTTGAACCTAAAAAGTAAAAGGATTTTCTAAATTAATGTAATTTTTTTAGGCTAGATTCTGTATGTAAATTGAAATTATTTTTTTTTTCTTTTGCCTAAGATTAATATATAAATGTTTATTAAATTAGTTGTAGTAGTTACATATCTAATATATCAAAATATATATATAAATAGAAATATTTTTGAAATTTTCAAAATTTGCCTAAAATTGCATAAAATTAGAAAGTATAATAAAATGAAAACTAAATTTGGAAGGAAAGAAATTTTAAAATTAATTTTAAGCCAAGAAAAAAAAACATAATAACAAGTTAGTAATTTAAAATCAAAGTTTAGCATAAATGTAGGTATTAGTTGTGAAAAATAAGAGAAAATGAAAAAAAAAAACGTTATAAACGTTATGAAATTATGTAGAAAAAAAGTGATAGAATATTGTCATTTTATAAAGCTTTTAGGGCAGAAAGTTAACTGAACCTTAAACTGAGATTTACTGTATTGCATTTTTTATTAAAAAGCTTTCAGAAATAAGTTCAAAATATTTTCCAAATGCTTTCCAGAAAATATTTTTATTTAAAAGCTTTTTTATTAAAAAAAAACTTTTTTATTTAAAAACTTTCTTATTCAAAACTTTAAACGGGTTTTAAAGGCCTTTTTATTTAGAAGCTTTCTTAAAACACTTTTTTGTTTAAAATCTTCCTTAAAGGTTAAAAAGCCTGTAGAAATAAGTTCTTTATTGAAAATATATTCCAAAAGATTTCATTAAAAGCTTTTTATTTCAAAGCTTTTTTTTTAACGGTTTTTAAAGTCCTTTTTATTTAGAAGCTTTCTTAAAACATTTTTTTGTTTAAAAGCTTTTTGTCATCTAATAGCTTTCTTAAAAGATTTTGTTTTCAAAAGCTTTCTTATCAAAAAAACTTTATCCGTATAAAAATGTTCTTCAAAAGCTTTTAAAACCCATGTTTTGTTTAAAAAAATCGCTATTTAGACATAAACAGAGCTTTCTTCTACTCCTTAGAAAGCTTCTCTATTTAAGAAAGCTTTTTTTATTTAAAATATTTTCACAAAGGGCTTTTTATGTAAAAACTTTCTGATTTTTTTAATGTCTTTTTAAAAAGCTTTTTTAAACGCTTTCTAAAAAACCCTTATCTAAAAGCTTTCAAAATATATATATAGAGAAATATATTTGAAATTTTAAAATTTCAAAAATATTTTTAAAACCTTTCTTTCTTAAAAAAAAACTTTTTCTGTTTAATAAATTATCTTGAAAAGCTTTTAAAAAACATGTTTTATTTAACAAGATTCTTAAAAAAAACGTTATTTAGACATAAACAACGCTTTTTTTATTTAAAATGTTTCCACGAAGGGCTTTCATAAAAGGCTTTGTATAAAAAAACTTTTTCCGTGCAAACAATTTCCTTCAGAAGCTTTTAAAAGCCACGGTTTATTAAAAAGAGCCTTTTCAACTCTCAAAAAGCTTTCTTAAAAAAGCTTTTTTATTTAAAATTTCTCCTCAAAGGGTATTTTATTTAAAAACTTTCTCATTTTAAAGTTTATTTGGCAGTTTTTTTATTAAGAAGCTTTCTTAAAACACTTCTCTTCTTTTTTAAAAAAGCTTTTTTTATTTAAAATGTCTAATCAAAGGGCTTTTTATTTAAAAGCATTCTGATTTTAAAGTTTATTTGGCAGCTTTTTTATTTAGAAGGTTCCTTAAAACACCTTTCTGTTTAAAAGCTTTATTACACGCTTTCTAAAAAAACTCTCATCTAAAGCTTTCTTAAACAAAAATTTATTTTGAAAAGCTTTCTAATCAAAAAAACTTTTTCAGTTTAAGCAATTTTCTTCAAAAGCTTTAAAAAATAAGTTTTATTTAACCAAAAATCCGTTTTTAGGCTTTAACAAAGCTTTTTTCTTAATGTCCTTTCCAACGCTTTCTAAGAGTAATAATTATTTCAAATCATTTTCTTTTTAAATTTTCTGTTTGTTATTTAAACATTTTCTTCAAAAGTTTTTTTTCAAAATTCTTTTTATCTTTTTAATCTTTATATAAACTTAAAAAAAGCTTTTTTTATAAATGATATTACCGCTTCCTAAAAGTCGTTATATTTTAATTTATTTTAAAAGTTTTTCTATTTGAAAGCTTTTTGAAAATGTAAAAGCTTTCGTAAAACAATGTTTATTACAAAATTTCTGAAAAAGTTTTCTTGATTAGAAAGCTAAAGCGTGTATATTGAAATGTCCTCCTAAAAGCTTTTTTATTAAAAAGCGTTAAATGAAAGCCTTTTTAATAAAAAGCTTTTTTTATTAAAAAAACTAAATTTTTTCGCATAAATATTTTAAAAAGTGTAAGTAAGTTTTTCTTTAGCCTTAAAAAGCTTTCAAAAATGTCTAAATTTCTATCATTATTACCACTGAATAGTCACTAATTTTAAATGTGTAATTTGCTTAATAGAGAGATTGCTTGAATTTATAATGAATTATAAAAAAATTAAAAATGTGTATAGAAAATTAAATATTAATAATAATAACACCCTGCACTAAAGCCAAAAAAAAAAACAGATAAATCTATTTATAATAAAACAACTGTATATTTCAAAATATATATTAAATATAAAAAAACACCAAATAAACAAGAAAACTTAAACAAATGTGAAGAGAAGAAATTATAATGAAATTAAAAATAATAATAACAAACGTATCTCATTGCATTTAATTGAAAATAATAAAAAATACTTAAAATTTAACAAACTTAAAAAAAAAGCTTAAACAAAATTCTTAAAACTAAAATCAAAATTTTCTTAAAAATTAAACTGTAAATAAAAACATTATAATTTAGTTTTTTTATAAATTTTTCCCCAAAATTATTTAAAAGAAATCTCGATGTTTTTCATAAGAAACAAACAAAAATTGTCATAAATTTTATAATTTTTATTAGAAAAAGCTTTTACTTAAACAAATCCTCAACTTTTAAGTTAAAGATGGCCAAAAAGTTCAAAATATTAAGCAAAAGCAAAAAAAATAAATAAATTGCAACAGAAATTTCTTACAAATTCTTGATTTAATTTAGACAATTAAATGTACAATATTTTTAATTGTTTACATTAATTAATTTTAATACATTTTAAGCTATTTACCTTTGCAAACAATTAATTTAATAAAATTCATTAATTTTTTTTTAGAAATTTTTAGACATAAACTAAAAAAATAATTAAATTCCAAAGCAAAACAAACAAACCAACCAATAAATAAATAATAACAAAAATTAATAACTATTAATTAGTATTTATTTATATTAATTTCATATATATTATACTTTTAGTTTTTCTACTATTAAGTGTTAAATATAATACTAAATGTATATATAAATTCAATTAATTTTTTTAAGTCTACATTTTTAAATTATAAATATATTTTATTTAAAATAATTTTTTTATATATCAATTATATTGTAAACACAAATTGCAAAGAGAGAAAAAAAAATTAAGACATTTTTATAGTTGTATTTATATAAATTGTATTATTTTTTATATGACAACAAATAACATAGCTACAACAACAAAAAAAAATGAAAAATATTTAATATAATTAAGTGCAAATATCTAATTAATTAACTAAGTATATTGAAAAAATAAAAAAAACATACATACACACATTTAAAACATACACACAAAATCCCCCAAACAAACAATATAATATTAAATATTAAAGTTAATTGAAATATGAATTAAATGTAATAAAATAATTAAATAATAATTAAATACAAACAACAACAACACAATTATTATTCCAAAAATAAAACAATTATGAAAACCAATAAAGAATGAAACGAGTTTTATTTATTCACTGTAAATAATGATTTCGGTGACAAGGTGAAAGTAGGACCACATTGTTAAACTGAGGTAAGCTATATGACTCTTTATCACAAACAGCTCCAAACTAATATAACAAATCAGTAAACCAAACGAAATAACCGTTACAATTAGTCGTTCATAAAATTATTCACAAAAAAGGAACATGAATTTACAATCTGGCAACTGTGAAAAAATAAATTGTTTACATCTTCTGTATTTCATCTATCAAACAAAACTAATCAAGGTTCAAAGAAACCAACATTTACAAAAAACTACAATCTGGCAACTGTGGTGAAAACAGCTAAAAACATTAAAGACATTTTTCTAAGTTATTCTACATTCAGAAAATAATACTGATAAAATTTCATCTTTACCTACTTGTAGATAGATAGATAGATAGATAGATAGATAGATAGATAGATAGATAGATAGATAGATAGATAGATAGATAGATAGATAGATAGATAGATAGATAGATAGATAGATAGATAGATAGATAGATAGATAGATAGATAGATAGAATAGATAGATAGATAGATAGATAGATAGATAGATAGATAGATAGATAGATAGATAGATAGATAGATAAATAGACAGACAGACAGACATATAGATAGATAGATAGATAGATAGATAGATAGATAGATAGCTAGATAGATAAGATAGATAGATAAGCTAGATAGATAGATAGATAGATAGATAGCTAGCTAGATAGATAGATAGATAGATAGATAGATAGATAGATAGATAGATAGATAGATAGATAGATAGATAGATAGATAGATAGATAGATAGATAGATAGATAGATAGATAGATAGATAGATAGATAGATAGATAGATAGATAGATAGATAGATAGATAGATAGATAGATAGATAGATAGATAGATAGATAGATAGATAGATAGATAAATAGACAGACAGACAGACATAGATAGATAGAGATAGATAGATAGATAGTAGATAGATAGATAGATAGATAGATAGATAGATAGATAGATAGATAGATAGATAGATAGATAGATAGATAGATAGATAGATAGATAGATAGATAGATAGATAGATAGATAGATAGATAGATAGATAGATAGATAGATAGATAGATAGATAGATAGATAGATAGATAGATAGATAGATAGATAGATAGATAGATAGATAGATAGATAGATAGATAGATAGATAGATAGATAGATAGATAGATAGATAGATAGATAGATAGATAGATAGATAGATAGATAGATAGATAGATAGATAGATAGATAGATAGATAGATAGATAGATAGATAGATAGATAGATAGATAGATAGATAGATAGATAGATAGATAGATAGATAGATAGATAGATAGATAGATAGATAGATAGATAGATAGATAGATAGATAGATAGATAGATAGATAGATAGATAGATAGATAGATAGATAGATAGATAGATAGATAGATAGATAGATAGATAGATAGATAGATAGTAGATAGATAGATAGATAGATAGATAGATAGATAGATAGATAGA